TCAAACATGTTACCAACATTTACAATGCAATCTTGGTGATACTTTGTTATGCATCGGCTGGGAGAATATTTGTGATGGAATAATACAATGTATTGATGGAGTTGATGAAGAGCATTGCTGGCAACTCAAGATTAATCAATGTACCGACAATGAATATCAATGCAGAAATGGACAATGCATACCTATGATATTTTATGAAGATAACATAAAAGCTCCTGATTGTCTTGATGGTTCCGACGAACTTTTACCGGCCAGCACAGTCACTTATGATCCTGTTGGTCCACCATTTAGATATAACGAACTTGCGTGTTTAGGTAGAGCCATTTTTTATATAAGGCACCATTTTGAATCCTATTGCTCTGACGTTTATGCTAGCATGATTAAAAGCTTACTATTTTGGAAAAAGCCTGATTCGATGTATGATATCTGTTGGTTAGCACTTATGTGCTATTTTAAAGATTTCATAGAAGTCCAAGTAAGTTGTGCTGATATTTGTCAATATAAAGAATGTCAAGAAAAAATTGCAACGCACTGTCCAACTATGTTTTATATGCCCAATGCGTCTGTAGCATTTGGTCATATCTATTTTGCTTATACAAAACAGTACATTATTAAACAAACAAAAGTAATAGTTCATCCTGAATATGTATGCTACAATGAACTATTTTGTAATGGATTCGATTCTAACAACACAACGATTTTATTTAATAACAGTACGTGTCGCAAATCACAAGAATTTTTATTACAACCTCTTCTCATGTTCAGTCGATTCTGGCTAAGTATTTATATCGTAAACTTATATACCAACTCTGGTCATTGCAATACAATTCTTCGAAAGGATTTGTCATTTTGTAATAAAAATTGTTATGCATCAATGTATTAACTCATCCAAATGCATTTCAAAAACTCGTCTCTTTGACAGTATAAGGGACTGTGACTATCGCGACGATGAATCATAAACTTTAATGTGCGACACTAATTTCACAGAAAGTCTCTCTACCGCAACACATTTCAAATGTACGATAGGAAAAAAAATTATTTCCCAAAAATTACGTGTAGCACAAACTATTGACTGTCACTGTGGTTTCGATGAATATGGTTTATGCGAGGATGCTTATTACGATTTGAATTATATCAGAGAACATATATCATTTCCAAAAGTTTGTGATGGTATTGTCGATTTGAAACCGATACTTATCGATGGAAAAAACGAAACAGATGAAACAGAATGTTCACAATCACAATGGTTGTGTAATAATACATATACTCGATGTAATGGAATTTGGAATTGTTTGAACGGAGAAGATGAAACTAATTGTTATCCATCATCACTAATGAATTGTCCACAACATAATCATTTATGTTTGTCATCTGATACAGGTAAATATATGTGTCTTTCATTAAACAGAACGAATGATGGTAATATCGATTGTTTGGGTGCTACTGATGAACGACAAAATTGCCCACTTACCGCCTATTCCAAAAGCAGAGACGACTATTTCTGTAGGTTTGGATTAAAATCAGAATGTACAAGTGCTTTTATGGTCTGTTATTCAGAAAGCCCATGTTTACCGAGCGAAAAGAAAAAGCTTTGTGTTAATCGAAGTTCTGATATGTTTTCCACTCATGATAAGTGTTACAATCGCGATAACTATATTTTGTCCGATGTCGATGTGTTCTTATGTGATCTTTTTCTGAGCCATCTAGAATCAAAAATCATATATTTTGCACTTGAAACAATGATCAAACCAAACATGAATAAAGACAAGCGTGACATAACAATGATAGCGTCAGATTATCCAACATCAGCAAGGACTCTGTCGCCTCCACTTCAGTGTCATCGGGGTGTTTCTTTACGAGTCTGGCTAAATAGTCAAAATAATGAAAGTATTGTAACACGTCTTTGTTCACCAAATTCTTATGGTGATAAATGTCAATATCAAAATCAACGGGTCAATCTTATCATACAATTTCAATCATATTCTGATTCATGGCAAACACCATTTCTTGTTATTGTGACACTTATCGATAATACTGAGAAACGGATTAT